TACCCTCGCCATGCATGTTGTTCGAGCCGATATGATAAGACTGGCATTTCGCCTTGACATACAGTATCGTTTGTTTGGTAACCGATACGTCAGTAGATTTATCTACAATGACACCGCACTTGCATCCTTGTAGACATTCTATGGTTTTGGCCAGCTGGATAGAATGAGCAGCCTCAATGAATTTCCAACCGTAGTTCTTCGAACTCCAGTGCTGTGTAACGTCCAAGGCTTGGACTTCAAGCCATGCCTTTCTGCCCATCGCAAGAAAGCTTGGGATTTGATGACAGCAACTTCCTCTATGGCCAGAGTCTATGCCAGGTCTGCCAGAGGTGTTAGTAACACCGTGTTGCCAAACTAAGTTCGGCTGAGAGACGAGCCTCCTCCTCGTTCCTTTGCATGCCACATCAAAATGATCAAAGATGTTCTTTTCGGAGATCTTTCTGAATGCCACATCCGAAGGCAAGACTTTGAAACGATGTTTGTTGTTATCGATGGCCTTCTGGTGGTCTGTCGGATCGGATTTTTTATAATTGGCTGGGTCACAAACGCGCCACTTCGACCATTCCCCAGATGCACTGTGATCCATGCACTCACCGCAGTAGTATTCAACTTTCCCAGCAACTTTGCAACATGGGGCTTGTGAAGTGAGTCCTCTGATTCAGGGGCCTATTTCACAAGGCGCCTTACGACTCTCGAATCTTTTGGCGGCTAAGCTCTTTCATAAGGCCACAATTCAGGAGATAAGGTGCTTCCCCTCAAGGGCCTTGAGTCAAGGCACCTGTTTCTATGAAGGAAAGGTGCTCCCCCTCGCCGTGAGGTGATTCCACAAGAGTGGGGAGTACCGTTTTGGTACGGAGAGTGGAAAGCTCAGCACAGGAGAGAGCCTAGGAGTCCAGCAGTTGTGTCGTCACAGTTTCGTACGCACCGTATAATACACGCATTAAGTGAACCCCTCAAAGAGTATGATAGCAGTTTACTGATGAACTGGACTGCTGATGTAGTTAGCAAGGCCGTGCCTCGAGTTCCTTTTCCCGGCCCATCCCGCCCGTGCAGGAGTGGCCTTTGATCCTAGTGCTCCACTCGGTTGATTGACCTCGGTAGCACTCCGGATCACTAGGCCTGGGACCGAAGACTTGACGTCTATATAGGCTAGTTGGCGGAGTAGTAGAGTTCAGATCTAGCATCGGCGCCATCCAGGCTCGGACCGCGGCAATGACTTATGATCGCCAGATCTTCGAGAAGCGTCAAGTCTCCGATACCCCTCTCCCGAACTCCTGTGCACAGGCGGCTTCACACTTTTGAACCCTCACCTTACGAGCCTCAGGATAAGGTAGCTTCAAAGGTATTTTATGGCATTTTACGCCCTCCATCTCACCGCTCGTTGCTCTTTCGCATTCTATAATCACATGCGACAGTCCAGTGGGTTGTGGGCCGCGAAAGCGTGTGCTGAGTCCACGTTTGCTAAAAGCGACTTGGATGTGTTCGTTGCGTTACTGCAAGGTCTACAGTATCCGCAGGAACGGAACCTCAGGAGTCGTCGACTCGTACCGTGCGAGCGTTGTAACACAGCGTTGCGTTAGCAGTAGCACAAGGGGACAGAGAGAGATGGATAGATGTGTCGACTATTCACGAGTTATCGTGTGCACGCTCCCCAGACAGCATCTAGATTTCGGTTTGTGAGTCATTCACTGTGAGACCATGACACAGCTCCGTATGTTTTCAACCAAGAGAGGAGAGACGGGGGCAGTCGTCGTGTGACACCAGCCTTGTCATTGACAAGACTGATGCTCAAGTCATCTTTTCGCACGCATTGAAGTCTACGCTGGTACGTTGATACGTATGGTGATGTATACCACATCAGCTGAGGAACTCTTCCTCAGGAAGAGCCGTCGAGAAGCCGTGAAGAGCCGTGAAATATGATATTATATCATATTGATATATGATATAATATCCGACAGCATTTGAGTGTTATCGAGTATACTGTCGATAATATCGACAGTATACGCATGTCCAATATGCGTATATATTGAGTGTTTGCTCTTCCCAGAACCAGCGGCAGAGACGTGAAAGACTCAGCAAGAGTCTTGAGCAGTCTTGAGTCAAGACTGCTCAAGTCTGCTCAGGACTTGAGCATATTCGCCGAGTTCTGAATGCACGTCCGAGGACTGATATCAGAATGTCATGAATGTCAGTTTCCTGAGCCTGATCCATATGTAATGGATGTAATCCTGACGTAATTTGGTCGCTCCGAACCTGAATCATGACATTGACAGCAGTCTAGTCTAGACTGTCTAGACTAGAGCCTTTAGCATAGTGACTCTACGCACCGCTTATCACCGGTTCGAGAGGGATTTCGGAATATATAGAAGCGGTACCTGAAGCTGATTGTGTTAATAGCGAGAATTGTATAAGCTCTCAGTGAAAGCCTCTCACCACTCGCATCAAAAACATCACTAGTGGACGGCCCTCTGATGACAGTGGTCAATATGTCATTCGTTTTGTATATTATCGTACAACGAAAAAACCGGGTTTTTTCGTGAGGATTTTTAAAATCCTAGATGGTCAAGTTTCGGGAACGATCAGTCCGAATCATGGAGTTTTTACCGTATCCAACACAACTCGTGTTGCTCAAGTCTACCGCGACAAAAAGTAGTATGATCCTATTATTGCTGCTCAACTTCCTTGAAACCTCTCATCGGCCACAATGTCATGCGCGTCCACTGGTGCTGCCGTTCCCTTCAAATATCGCACTTCTGCAGCTCCTGCAGTTACGACAGCGATTAAACCTAAGGTTTGCAACCTTCCGACGAAACCTCTATTTGATGATTCGATCACGCGATAGTATATGACAAAAGCTTATCTTTATGAAAGTCTTCTATACTATTGCGCCACCGCTCTCACAATCTCAACATAGGGTGAGCATAGAGATAGCATAGAGACCATTTTGCATACCGCAGTTCTGTGACAAGTCTTAGCAGTACTTAGTAAGTACTACTTACGATATGAGTAAGCTAATCGTGGTAGTCACAAATGGTCCACGGAAATGAGTAAGGACTGTAAGGAGCGCTTCTTTTCTCACTCCGCAGTGTGGAGTGAGGAGGAAGCCACACGATTCAACAATGAAATGAGAGCGATAATCCGACGTTCAGCCCGTTCAGAGAGGAGTGGTACGAAAATCCCTGTATAACGTGATGTTCACAGTCGCGAGACGGGCGAGTTCGTTGTTCACCACTATCAGGCTTTCACCTCTTTGAGTGGGTCCAAATTTCACGAATTTGGGTTCAGTCACCCACAACCAATGTCAGGGATCACTCCATTTCAGTTGGTCCCACTCCGTTCTCATTTCATACCGCAAAACGCCACCGCCCAGCACGCAATCACGAAGATATGAAAACCGTTTTCCTGACGAACGACCTTCCGATGATCGGATACGTACAGCTTAATTCCTTTGTGGTTCGACGAGAATCCGCCGTCTTCATTTCTTCAGCTAAGATTTAGAACGTACATTCATATCAACTCATCACGGGAAGGTTTCCAGTTAGTTGTAATCTCAGGTTACAGCCATCAAACACTGTTAATGGACTCTGCCCTCCGTGGTGTGCAGGACCTCGTGGTGAAGTGCCGATCGCTCTTCCGGTCGCACGGCAGTCTGATCATCGTCGCTGGTGTGGTCTCATTAATCGTCTTGAAGGCTCGCAAGCTCATGAAGCGTACCAGGGTGGATCTCCATGCACTCTTTGGTGGACCAAATCATGTGAGTGTGGTTTGTGCGGTTGAGTTCATCATGCATGCATGTCTTCTGGCTTCTGTTAGTTTATGCCTTTTCTGGGCTTCATCCCGAAGTCATTGGATCACCTCTTCCACGCACTAGAGATCTATGCTGATACATATGGTGATGTCTACCATATCAAGTAAAAGGTTTGGCTATCATAGGCACTCGAATTTCGATAGCATCGCTTTATTCCACTCAGAGTAATCGGCATGGACATGTTGGCTATATCAAATCCGGATTTGGTTCGACAAGTTCTGAACGCACGACCAAAGACCTTCGTTAAACCCTTCAACAAGCAAAGGATAATACCTGTCGAGGGCATGTTTACTACAGAAGGTGAAGTGTGGAAGCGGAACAGACGATTGGGTGCGCCGGCATTCAACGACAATAACTCATCGGCTATGATTCCCGATATGTCCAAAGTTGCTTCAAGGCTGGTAAGGTCTGGATTGCCATCCCCTCCCTTGCCTCTACGTCCCATTGTGCAGATACGACAGCTAAAGTCCCTTGGTCAAGATGGTGTCATCGTATGGCGCCCCACAAAATGGCTATCCCTCTGCACTTTGGATATTTTATGTGTCACCGCTCTTGGAAAAGATTATAACTTCTTGAATCCAGATGGTGAACAACATCGATTATATCTACTAGTCCTTGGCGAGCGTTTTGTATGCGTGCATTTTAGCATAATATGGTTCACTTAATCTTTTATTTTCGCTTACTAGAGTTATATCATCATACATGATCGCCATACTCTTCCATTCGGTTCGAGTATCTTCGAAGAGATCTAGTCGTGTGCCGCGAGGACCTCCTTTCCTTGCAGGAGTGCCTCTCGGAAGACAGTCAGGAGAGCTTCAGCTGGCGATGGATGAATTCCTCGTCGGCGTAGGGTATGCAGCACAACGTAGTGCTATAGCATGGACGACACGAGATAGGTTCCCGTGGAATCTCAATCCGATGATCAAGAAGGTAGACACCTCACCCAACGATAAAGTCGTCGTTCGATTCTCATTATTAGATGCACTCTGGGGCGAAGCAGCTGAGCAGAATATGTGATGAGATCATCGGCAAACGGCGAGCGGAGCGGGACGCGGGAGAACGACAGGAAAGGCGTGACTTGCTCGACAAACTTCTGCATCTCGATGAGGTGGACCTGCGAGGGAATCTCATCACGTGAGTACTACTTCTGATCTGACAATCAACAATATGTTCGGTCGGAAATGATGTGGAATCTGAGTCGTAGCGTCGTTGTATGTCTTGCATATTGTCAGGTTCCTCATTGCTGGTAGCGACACCACCGCCATGACTGTCGCCTGGTGTCTCTACTATCTGGCCCTATATCCTGGAATACAGTACAAGGCCAGGGCCGAGGTGGATGGCCTTGGGCATGATCCCAACACGACAGAAGACCTGGACAAACTGGTCTATGCCAGTTGCTGTGTATTCGAAACTCTCCGGGTGCGCTTTTGTGAGTCACGCGTTACGCGACTATACCGTCTCTTCTTAGTTGCAGCCTGCGGCCGTCGTACACCTCTCTGAGTGCATCCACGACACGGAACTCGATGGTCATCCCATTCCTTCTGGAACGAGTGTGATGGCACTCCTCCGTAAGGCGATGATAGCGGAGGCTCAGGGCGGCAAAACATTCGAGTATGTAGGTCCCCACTAGACCCTAGAAATTGTCGTCCATCTCAGTCCCGAGCGTTGGCTCCTTCCTGACGGCTCCTCGATAGACCAGGCCCGTGTACGTGATCATCTAGCATTTGGTGGAGGGCCTCGTCAATGCCCTGGACAGAACATGGCCATCAAGGAGGCTGTGGTGATCTTGACTCTACTCCTGAGAAATTTTGGTTCTATGTCATTGACTTGTCCCGCTGCAAGTGTTATTGGTGAAGCAACTTTTTCATACGAACCTCTAAATCTCGAGCTGCGAATGTCTCAACGAGTTGGCTAGTGCTGCTACTCTGCGATTTTATTGCTTCAGCGCTCAGGTTTATTTCCGGTCGCAACAGATGTTTTTGCGTTCACCACCAAATTATCTTCTGGTATATACTAGTATTCCGATGGTGCGCAGTTTCGATCGCTTCGATTCTCTTGGCACGTCGGTTAAACCGGGTTTCTAAACGTAGTTTCTAAATTTCAGAATCTGAACCGACTCGGTTTAGATTCTGAACTTTAGAAACTTCGTTCCGACAGCGCGTCGAGTAAAGAACATCAACTTCCGTTCATAGTCCTGATGACGTCATGGAAAACTACAGCTCCGGGCCGTCAGCTCAGGATCGGAAGACTACAGCGCAACTTCGAAAAGTTACAACTCAGATATTCTGAGCGAAACTTCGAAAAGATATAACTCGAAAATTCTGAGATGGTGAAGAACGAAGGTTGTAGAAGCTGCGAGCTGCTCCAGTAGATGTGTTGAGAGTCATACGAACGTGTGCTGGATTCAGCGGGATCCGATAGTGAGAAGTGACAATGTTGTAGTCTTTTGAGGGACGCAACATTATCCTATATTATCCTCTCCAGTCGTCTTATAATTGTTAAGTAACTGTGTATCTAGCGTCAAGCTAGTAAGTTAGTTGTCACTATTGAACTTCCTTAGATCTTTTAAGCTGTTATTAGCCTCACGTTCTGCGTGAGATCAGACGGTGTTTCGTTAATTCGAAGGCTTGGGAAACCGTTATAGACGGTTTTACTTCCTCACTCGACATTGTGCCATAACAAATGCAAATCGAGGGCGGGCTTTGGCCCGCTCATCCCGGTAGAGTCTACGGCAGATTCTAGTGGACTCAGTCCACAGTGAAGTATCCGAAACTAACAGGTTCGCGAATCACGAAAATGATAGAGATTCTTATTGTAGCCCTCACGAAAAGAAGTTCTTAATGTAAAAAGGTCCATAAGAGCCTCGTGACTCAATTGTACAACGTT